GTTCCACGGCTCTTGACTATGTTGTCCCTTATGGCGGCGTAGGAAGACACGAAATGGAGGATCAGGAAGAAGAGGTAATTGAGTCTGAGTCTGGGTGTTTTTTTCCTCCTTAACCCTACTCTCCCCCTGGGGAGAAACCAAGAAAAAAGATTGACTCTCAAAGAAGGATACATCCATAGAGACATAGTACTTGGGTGAGGCAGGGTCATAGCAACAATAACCCCTTTGAGAAAAAAAGGTAACCAAGAAAAACACAAGGAATGGCACGAGGATCGAGCTTATTGCGAGAAGGGGACAAGTTATGAACAAAGCAACGACACCCAAAGACACGAATTGGAATAAGGGATAGAGGAGCCATAAGAAACAAAAGTTGATGCGGGGCCTTATACCTTAGTAACCGAGATGGCATACGATTGATGAGATATGCAACAGACATAACAACATTCATCCAAAAGCGTTTTTAAAACATTTACATGGAGTAATAAACCACGAGCTACTTCGAGAAGATGACGATTTTTCCTTTCTGGGGTGTCCTAGCATAAGATCTCCGACGAAGAGATCCACATGAAGCAAAGAACTCCGTGAGATCACTATGGAAGTACTCCTTTGCGTTGTCCAACTGGAAAATATGAATCTCAATTTGGAATTGAATAAAAATCATGCGTTGAAAATCTTTCATAATCATTGGCACTTCCTATCTAGACCGCATAGGATAAACACATGTATATCTAGAGTAGTCATCAATCAAAGTAATGAAATACTTCCATCCAGTCTCAAAAGGTAGAGTAACAGGGCCCCAAACATTAGAATAGACAATATGAAACAGAAATTCAGATCATTTATTTCTTAAAGGAAACAAATTTTTACAATGTTTGCTCAATTGACATGTCTGACACTGTAACTCACCAACTAACAAAGACTTAAATAACTCAAGAAACATAAGTTTTATAGACTCGAACGAAAGATGACCCAGACAACTATGCCATAAGTAGGCATGACTCTCACTAGATGAACTTAAGGACTCTGTAGCCACAAGACCGGCTTTATTCTCCAACATGTAGAGACCATCCACCATGCTTCTTCTACCAATGTCTTCCTCGAGGCCAAATCCTAAAACATACACGAAGAAGGAAAGAAGGTCACTGAACAATTCAATGAGTGAGTAATACTGCTAATGAAAAGTAAATTAATAGGTAATTTAGGAACATGCAACACATTAGAGAGGGTAAGACCGAACGGAAGGGAGATGATTCCTTGACCGGCTATGGTGGAGAATAATCCATCAGCTAGTCTCATCTTATCTCTCCCAGAGAGGATGTTATATGCCTGGAATAAAATCGACTTACCAGTCATGTGATTTGAGGCTCCAGAGTCAATTATCTAAGGAGAATCAAATGTATGAAATGACACATGGAAAGCAGTGGCAGTGTTACCAGATGTAGACGCAAAGGAAGTAGGAGTAGGGCCATAATCCATTTGGCGAAGTGTCCTACCATATAATTCCAAGTGGTCACGAAAGGAGTTGATAATTTCTTCCTTTGGGTCAGAACCAGAGTGTCGCTCCTGGGGTACCATGGGATAATCTCTTGAGATGCCACATTTGCTAAGTTATATTTCTTCTAACTCTGTTGGATTGGCTTCTTACTCTGATCAGATGCTAATTTCTTACTCAATTCCTGAGCCATTTAGGCTTACCATGGAGTTCCCATATTTTACAAGTTGTTTCAGCCCACATAAATGTCTTCCTTACTTGTGGCAGCATGAAAACCAAGAACCATGACATCACCATACTATTTTCTTGGTTCCACCTATCATGTTCAGCACTTCCAGACTTTGGTTCCTTAACTTTACCATTGATATACCCTATTTTCCCCCTAGCAGTAATGTAAAGTTTAATTCCCATAGACCATTCAAGGTAGTTTAGTCCATCAAAGGGAATTACAACCAAGGGAAAACTCATATCCATCCCCCTACTCATTCCGTTTTGACCTCCTGAAATCCCAGAGGTTGCAGAATTCTTAGAGGACACGATTCAAGAACACTTTTCAGTTTCAACACACATTAAGATCCCTCCTAATACCCAAAAAAGGTCCAAAAAAACACACTAGAGATGCAGTTCACATGCACACACTCTGGTCTGGATACAATCTGAACACAGACCAGCTCCAATTCTCTTAAAAAAAATTCAGGTTGATTTCAGCACTGCACAAGTTTTACAGTCCCAGTCCACCAATTTTCCAAATCACCTAAACACACCAACTACTAGAAGAGATCACAAAGCAGTGAAGTCACACCAAAACTTGGTAACAGGTCATTCGTGACCTACAAGTAACCCATTCTCAGGTACAGGATCACATGATCCACAGAAAAGAGGTCTGAACCTCACAATTCCTCTTACTACATTCAACTGTCTTGTTTCATAGGGATTTTCTTGGTACATGATCAAGGAAAAAAAAAAGTAAAGCAAACTTGTATCAGTCATAGGTCAACTTCTCTGATCTCAGTTGAAGAAGACAGCAAGGTAAAGAAGAAAGAACTAGTTCGATCTGCTCTCAGACCCAGTAGAACCACTCTGATGCCATATTAGCAGAAGAAAAGAGAAGAAATAAGGAAGAAGAAGAGAAGAGAGAGAGAAGATAGAGAGGAGAAGAGATGAGAAAGGTTTGGAGAGTTCTAATCTGTCTGGCAGCGCCAGCTTATGTTATTATATATAGGGTGACCATAAATAAAAGAGAAAAGACACTTGTGCCTCTGCTGTAGTCAAAGTACATAAACAAAGGAAAAAAGGCTATTTTAACCAGACCTAACAGGCCCTAGCTAAGCAGAATACAATCATAAATATAAAGAAAAACATTCCAACACCTCCCATGAATCTTTAAGATTTATCATATGTTTGCCGGTTCCTTTGGATAAGAGCAAGGTGTTAGTGGAAGCGGATTCCTTAATTAGCCAACAAAGATCATTGGGATGAAAATGTCATAAATTTCAGGCTAAGTAGTACATTATTTTTATTTATAAAGAAAGCTCATGCTAAAGACAGCAAAATAGGATACAGAAGTTACACAGGATGGAGGAGAAAAAACAAAACAGAATCATGGGAGATACAGTAAATATCCCAAACCCAACCAACTACTCAGCAAGAAACTATTAAATGCCACAACACAGAATTGCTATGCATTTTAAGGGTACTCCAGGAAAGGAGATCATGTATACAGATCATGGTCACTTGAAATTGGAAGCATTCATAGATGTAGATTATGCAGATTGTCTTGATGATAAACATTCTACATCTGGCTATCGTACATTCTACATCAAGCATGGAAACAAATATATATTAATGGCTCATGAAGTGTCAAAATTATTGTGGTTGAAGATTTTGCAAGAAGAATTAAGAGTTGTTTTGGAACAACTCATGTGACTTTATTGTGATAACAAGGCATCCATCAACATTACTCAATCCCATCCAATGTTGGCCCCAGTTATCTGGGGTCTTGGGGCAGTGGAGTTAATATGGAACTATAACCTTTAGCATTTTCCTGAACTAAGTGACAGTTCTCAGACTCAAACTCAACTTCCCATCTTGTCAGCCCAAGATTTTACCATTACACCAAGCAATGACCTCTACTTGTGCTCACCACCAGGAAAAAAATTATATGCCGTTTTCACCAATGTGGAAAATTACAAGAAAAAATAAATATTAACTAAATTTGCAATGGATTATATGCCATGAGAAGTATAGAGTTTTATTCTCAATTCTCAATGAATCAACTATATATGGACAAAATTGGATACATGCATTGGACATTAGGTTATAACTCAAAGCAAGAGAACTGAATCTAGTTTTCAAACTGTCATTTGTAAAATTTAATTCCTATTAAGTTGCTTGGGCAGTGGAGACTGATAAAAGAACAGTACCAAGCCATTTAATTCCTATTAATGCCTTGGTAAGGGAATATAGTTTTTCAATCTTATCTATCAATTCTGAAAGTTAATTCCTATCAATGTTTTAAAAGTGCAAGGTGCAAAAAAACCACAAAGGGCATTTTGGGCCTGAGGCACAGGCAAGGCATGTGCCTTTTTGAAGTAAGGTGCAAAATTTAAAAAACAATGCAATAAATGTAAAAAAATTCAAAATAAATTAAGAAATATTAAACATAATATTAATTAAAAAAATTGTTTTGATCGATAGTATTAATTAAAAAATCAATTTTAAATTTTAAACTAAATGCTTTATAAAATCCTAATATCTCAAATTAAAATACATAAACATAACATATAAAACATATTTAAAGTGAAAATGCAAAAATAAAATAAAACATATTTGAGTACATCAAACTTTAAATTTCTTTATATCATTCCTAATTCTACAAGCCGCTTCTATACCAAGCCCCTTGAGGCAAGCCCAAATAAGTCCATCTTAGGGTTTTAAATTTTTAATTCCTACCGAAAACGATTTTATAATTTTAATTATCTTTTAAAAATATCTTTTATGAGGATGAATGAATGACTGAACAACATTAGCAAATAGGGGGTTCTCCCAGCTACCATGCTTAAAAAATGCAAAAAAAAATGCAAAAAAATGCAAAAAATTAAAAAAAAGGTGCACGCCTGGGCTGATGTGCAATGCACACCAGACGCACACATGCCTCTTTAAAGGGGCTGCGCCTGGGCCTAGCCACCTAGATGAAGCATAGACACTGAAATGCACCTCACCTGTTTGCCTAGGCACACCTTTTAAATCACTGATTCCTATTAAGCTACCTGGGCAGTGGAGACTGATAAGAGAACATTAACCAACTCAGTGAGTAGCCTTATACAAAATGCATCTATTATAGTAAAATAATTTCAATACAAACACCAGATGGACAACCATAACCACAAGTAAACTAGAAACAATAATAACATCATATGATTCTAAACACACAATGACAATAGGCCCATAATTATTTAATCAATGTAATAGGACTACAATTATAAGGAATGAGATAACAACAATATACCTTATATTGACTGATACGTCGCCTCAATTTCTGTTTGTTGACTTCATTATCTTTAATGTCAACAACTTCTTCTTGCCCAAGCTCAAAATCATCAATGATCTCCGGAGCATCCACTTGATCCACAAAAATTTCATCTTCAACAGTACTGGAAAATCAGTGTTAGGACACTGCAAGATTGAAGATATATGTACAAACTCAATATAACACATCAGAACAACATATCCAGATTTGACAAGACAGCAGAGACAAGCACAAGATTGAACTTTTCTTATCATCTTATACAAGCACTGCACAAAGAGAAATCTATTTTTGAAATAGAGTTATAGAATAAAGAAAAAAAAAATCTCTCAGACAGTAGTAATCTCCAGCAAGTAGAGAACTCAATTTAGTCTACACTAAGGATGGGAAAGAGTAAGGTCCTACAGGGTGTATGCAGTAAGTAAATAAGGGGAATTAAGAATTTAAACATGTATGTCCAAAATTGTTTGTCGTTTGGGCACCAGTGAGTTGTCTAATTCATGAATTACTGGCAGTGGGCTTTGGGCTGAGAACTTGCTGCTGATCTGCTTCTTGAGAGATAACACGAGGAAGACCAAATGGATGAGGGACCCATTTGAGAAGTTAAATACAAGCCAATCCATTGAAGCACCTTGGATTGTCCATAAATTTTGGGTGATAATTTAAGGTTTGAGAGAGGTCTTCCAATAAGGTTGGAGCCTAGAGTAAACCCATTCACCCACTCAAAATCAAAACCCATATTCATTTGACTGTACACCCTTCTCACACAAGATTGAGATTCTTTGAGATGCTCAAACAGTGCATGAAGAATCTCTTCTCTTTCCATTCTTTGTCCACTGCTTCCATTGACATTTATCATCATCATTATCATCTAAGCCTTATCCCAATTATATGGGGCAGCTACATGAATCCTGTTTCACCATTCTGTTCTGTTTAGTTTAGTGTCATATCCATTGTTAAATTTTGGGCATTTATGTCATTTCTTACAACATCAACCCATGTCCTTTTTGGTATGCCCCTAGCCCTTCTAGCCTCTTCAACTTGCAACAGATAGCTTCTTCTCACAGATGCAATAGATGATCTTCTATGCATGTGACCAAACCATTTCGGCCTACTTTCTCTCATTTTATCACCTATGGAAGCTACTCCTAGGTTCCTTCAAATGACATTTGTGTGTAACCTATTGGAGCTACTTCTTTGTCAAAGTATGGACATTATTTTGTAACAAAATTCAGCCTCTGGAATCCATTTTACTCAATCTTTCAGCTTGGAGCTTGTTAAACATCTAAACACACCATTATCTAGTTAACCACCTTCACTTGCCCATTTATTTATGGATGGTAAGAGGAACTAAAGTTGAAGACGGTCATTCCAAAACATTCTTGTGAATAGGAGCAGTTAAGGCAAGGATGGTTTGGACACCTCCCATTGAAGATTGGTTGGAACTAAACTTTGATGGGAACAGTCAAGGCAACCCAGGTCCATCTGGCATAGGAGAGGCTGTAAGAGACAATGAAGGAAATTTAAGAGCCATCTTTTCAGGACCAATGGGAAATGGAGACTCCTAAAGGCAGAACTATATGCAGCCCAAGAAGGCATCCAGATTGCAAAAGAATTAGGCGTGGAGAAATTGATGATAGAAGGGGACTCCAAGGTGGTGGTGGGTTGGCTAAAAGACCCAGATTCAGTGATTTGGTGTTACAGAAATGAAATGAAGATGTTCAAATGGCTAACACAACAGAAGATTTTAACTATACAATGGGTGGTAAGGGAGGCCTATGCACTGGCTGATTCTCTAGCCAAGCAAGGGGTAACTAGGGATCAGATGTACTGGGCCCATTTGTAAATCTGTTGTATTTCTTTGTTAAAGAGTGAGACTGCACCTCACGCCTCCCACTCAGATGCTTGTAACAGATGCTATCCTTTGATTCTAATGAAAATTGATGAAATTTATTTATAAAAAAAAAGGGGAATATGGATCAGGGCATATTGAGCAACCTAAATACTTCTTCAAAGATCACTTGGGCTACACTAGCAGCTGCACATGGATGGATGGGAATAAGGATGAAGTGTGCATGTTGGAGTTGGACAGCCAGTCCACCATCATTGGACTTGATAGCTGGATTACAATAGCAGCTTCAGTAGTCCAGCTGGAAATAAATACTCCAACTTGTGACATTGGCATGTGTCACACTGCCAATAAAAGAAAATTTCATTAAAAAATGAAACAGAGAGAGTACAAGTAGTTGTAATAAGAGATGACAACAGCAGAAATACAACAACTTTTACCCCCCAACTCAGACTAATAACCAACCAAACTGCATACACAAATAATCAATCAATTCCTAATATAGATACAAGCTTCCTGTCATACAGAACCATGGGCATAATAGAACAACCCAAAACATCAGTCATATAAATGAGGTTTCTGTATATCTGCAAACGTTCATCAATCTTTTTCAAACAGCCCTTTACTTTCTATTCAGAAGAACCACCCCTGCCCCCATCCCAATAACTCCTCCCCCACACCCCCTCCCCCCGCTGACACTCCTTGATAAGATCTTTAATTTATTGTCATGTGCATTTCCAATAGAAAATAGCACAGATTCGATGCAATATCTCATGGTATCCTTTATGTGTACTACAATAAATGTACTACAACAAATTTCCTTGATAATGATGGGAATGAGAGGAGAGTCTTAACTCAAGTAAATACAAGTTTTGAAGAGTGAATTGTTGAAGATAGAGGAATTCTTCCTGATCCCAGCATGGCTATCGTCTTGGGCTGTCTATCTGAAATCTTCCCACCACCTACCTTGGTCTTCTCTTGGGAGCCAAAAGCAGCTCTAAGAAGATCTGGGATCCAGTTATTGACAGATTTGACAAGAAACTGGCAATGTGGAAATCTAAATATTTATCAAAGGGAGGCAAGCTCACTCTAATTAAGTGTATTGTCTTCATTCATTCCCAATTTATTACCTATCATTATTTCAGATCCCTGCCAGTGTTGCAAAGCTTCTAGAGAAGAAAATGAGGCTCTTCTTATGGGCTGGGTGGAAGAACAGCTTCAAGTTTAATTTGGTAAGATGGAAATCTGTGTGTAAATCAAGGAGAACTGGAGGTTTAGGAATCAAAAATATTAAAGCTGTTAACAAGGCTCTACTTGGTAAATGGTGCCGGAGATTCAGCAAAGAGAGGAACAACCTCTGGAGAAGAATCATCGCAGATAAGTGTGGGCTCATAAATCTAGGGTGGGACTCAGGTCCTGGTCTTCTCCCAAGGGGATGAACCTTGTGGGGCAATGCTGTCTCTATCTTCCCTGGTGGGACTCAGGTCCTGGTGTGGGACACAGCTCTAAATGAAAGGTTTCCCCTCTCTCTTATCGCACGGGATAAAGATGCTGTAGTGGAAGACTGTTTTGATTTGATGAATGGTGAGGTTATATGGAGCCCTACTTTCAGAAGAAATCTTAATGATTGGGAAATAGGTCCACTAACAAATCTTCCAAGTCATATTCACAGTTTCAAGCCCAACCCACAGTCAGATGATGAAAGAATTCGGGCTTGGGAGGCTTCTCACACCTTCTCCTCTAAGTCTTTCTACAACAACCTTGTGGCTGGTGAGGAAGGAGACTTCCCTTGGACTTTAATCTGGAAATCCCACGCTCCTTCAAAAGTAGCCTTCCTGGTTGGACTGCAGCACTTGATAAGTGCCTAACTGCAGATCAGCTGCTCAGAAGGGGGATGCAGCTTCCTAGTTTCTGCTGTCCTTTCTGCAATGAAGCTCCTGAAACCTCTAATCACATTTTTATTCACTGCAACTTCTCTCAGCAGCTCTGGGGAATGGCTCTTTCCTGCTTTGGTGTTTCTTCTTGCCCACCTGTTTCAGTCCTACAGCTGCTTCAGGGGTTGACCCTTGAGGGTCTGAATGTAAGACACAAGATGCTTTGGAAGATTTTTCCAGCTGCTATCCTTTGGGCCCTTTGGAAGGAAAGGAATAGCAGGATTTCTGACAATCTTTCCAATGACATAGTTTCAGTTCAGTCAAGAACAAAGTTATATGTTTTCTATGTTCCTGGTTAAGTGTACAAAGAGCTTTCTTTGGTTCAGCTTTTTCCTTTTTTGCAAGTTGGACCTTTCTTTATTTGATCTCTCAGATCTTTTTGTAAATTCCCAATGTACAAGTTCTCATTGTACATGGGCTGATATATTTGGTTTTCTTTGCAATACAATACTTTTCCTACTTCAGAGAAAAAAAAAATACAAGTTTTGAAGAAGAGAACCTCTTTGGTATTCCACCCCACAGCTTCACCTTCTTGGCCCCACTTCACTGACCTTCGTAACTAATCACAAGGTAGGTCTCTCTAGATTCTTTTTAGGTTTGATTGTTTGTTTGACTAGGTTGCTAGATGAATTTTAATAATCAAATCATATTAACAAATAGAAAATACAGTATGAAAATTAATATATAAATAGTATGACTCAATAAACCAGTTTTTTTGTAATAAATAGTATGAACAAATAAACCATGACCCGTAGACCAGGTTGAACAGTTCAACAGTTTAAAACATCCAAGCTAATTGGGATTTTGCATATTAAAGGGTTTGGAGTTGAACCAGACTGCCTTGGCCTCCAGGTGACAAGTCAAATGGTTCAACCATCCAGGTCAACAATGGGATGAAACAATTAGTTTGCATTGGACAATGCCTTTTTTGTAGGTACTTTCCTTCATATAAGTAGTATCCTGTTTATGTGGATCCATGAATGTAACCCAAGAGTCGATCTTCAAAGAAAATTATTTTTAAGATATTTGAAAAGCAATTCCTTTAAGACTGATCTTTATAGAACAAGTAGGAAATTGTTGTACTTTTCCTGAAGGTGATCGAATAGTTTTTTAAGAGTTTGACAAAACTGGATTGCTTTACCTAATTCGTAGAAATAGAGATTCACATGCATAATGAAGTGTAATCAAATCAAGATTTCTCAATCCTTCATGGTTTAGGATTGAATAAAGTTCTATTGAAGGGATTGTCTCTCCTCTCATTTGTGCATTTTTCTACACTATTTCTCCATCGAGCATAGCCTAAGGATGAGGAAAGATGAGAAAAAACATTCTCAGTGACTCAGTGTTTCAGTTTAAAAGCAACATACATGAACAACATAGATCACATGTATGCAAGAGAAAGATCAACTTATAACTTAAGCTTCTCAGTGTTTGACCAAAACCTTGCATTTTTTGTAACTTTGTATTTCAAGCAGGATAATTTCAGCTTCCACCAAAACGTTCCAATGGAAATTTAAAACCACAGCACAAACATTGTAAATTTCTCCTATATGGTGTTACTTGCACATATTCATGAGCCAAAGTTAAGGTGTCACAATGACTATGCATACTCTTGCTCCTTAATCCTACCAAAGCACTGCATTTGTCCATCTCCGCGCAACAAACAGGGGAGTGAATGCACCATAAAGCAACAATAATCAGGTTGTTCAGTTTTTCAGATGAATTGATTAAGAAATTCACTAAAGCTCAAAGAATGCAATTTTTCATTCCAATAAACAAACACAACGTCTGGAATTCAGCTCATTCCAACTCACTAATAATAAGAAAAAGAAATGTAATCAATTGATCGATTAACCAGCAAGAATCAGTGAAGTAAAAAAGAAAGGTGGCTTGATAGATAGTAAATAAGTTTAAGTAGACATCTTACCCGACCATGGTCATCTTTACAGAGGATTTGAGGGGAAGTTCGGAGAGAAGAACGGAATCGTCAGCGAGCTTGGGGCCGACTTTAGGGTAAAGGAGCTTCTGGCGTTTCGGGAGCACTTTCGTGAGTTCACAGATCCGCCGCTTCAGCTCCCCAACGCTGTCGTCTCCACAGACTCTCGCCGTGTATTCCTTCCCACTCCATCGCACCGTCAGAGTCAGCTCCTCATCCGACAAAGACGATGATGCCATCAACAAGCTCGCTACTCTTCCTTCCGTCAGGGTTTCAGAATCTCACACCGCCGGCGCTCTAGCCTGCCAGTAACTCCGCTCAACTTTTCAGTCTTCAGTCCTTAGTAGTTAGTACTCATTCGTTGGGCTTTCGTTCTTTCGCACGTTATTGGAGTGATATAGGACTTGTGTTTGGTATGGCTTTGTTAAAAGAGGCAGGAGTCAGAGCTATAGTTTGGGTGGGTCTAACCCGAGAACGATCCGGTTCAACCAAAATTTTTATGCAGGTTGGGTTTGAGTTTTCAAACTTGCAAGTTGGGCTTAGATAAAAAATGAAATTAGGTTTAACCTAAATTCAGGTTGGACTTGAGTTGAGGGCTCAGGTAGTCTGAGCCCGATCAGACCCAATCTGACTTGAGTTAAAAGCTCAACATGCTCAAAGCCCAAAGCCTATCCCAGGCTCTATTTGGGCTTGGGTTGGTAAACTCGATCTTAACCTTGAGTTGGGCCAAACCTGAGCTCAAGTTTGAGATTTTGGATTGGGCTTGGGCTGACTTTCAAATTGATCCAATCCATCTAAGTTGCATCTCAATAAGGAGCACTGTGACAAAGACCCCCTACACTTTTTTTTTTGTGAGAAACACCTTTTGTACTTTGGCTGTTAGACAAAGACCCCCTTGTTAGCAATATGTCAATTGACTTAAAAAAGGATTCTCATTTGACCATTTAAAGTTTTCTAAATGCCCAAATTACCTTTTCTAATTTATTTTATGAAACTTATCCAAACACCAGATGCTCTATAGTCTAAATCATGGCAGCATCTTGCGGTGCTATGAACTTATAAGCAAGTTCACCGGAGACAAGAAACAATCACTGTACTTGATCGGCTCTATCAACTCCTGGTTGCTATGAAAATTACGACATCAGCCCTTTGATACGCAATAGAGATTTCCTATACATGTTGTATGAAATCATAGGACACCTTCTCCATGTAAATTCCAAATCTATGTTGGCTGCTTCAATTTCTAGTGTAAATTCAATCTCCAACACCTTCTCCGTGCCATATCCTTCTTAATCTATCTCATGTATTTGTTATAACTCTGAAACGCCTAGCATTTAGCACTGATGAAAATGGGTTAAACCCCATACATTTCCAAATCTTTGATCGTAATCATTAGGTGTAGGTTTACTTCCATCTTAAGGCCACATTTGAAAGTAGAGTGCAAAACCTTATATTTTGTATTATTTTATATGTATTTGTATTTATATTGTAACATAATGTCATTGTCCTTTAAATAATCCCTGAATTCATCGAAGAGATATTCATCTCATCGATCTGATCAAAGGGTTTTGATCTTTCTTCCCAATTATTTATGGACTTCTTGTCTAAACTCCTTGAACTTTTCAAATGATTCAGGTTTATGTCTCATTAAGTACACGTAACCATGCCAAGAATAATCATCGGTGAAAGTTATGAAACAACAGTGTGTTGGTTCTATGTCCTAACACTCATAGGACTACATGTATCAGTATGTATAAGGTCATGTGTGCCTATAGTTTTTCAAACTTACCTATAAATGGCATTTTTGCCATTTTGCCTTCAAGGCAAGGCTTATAAGTTGGTAGATCTTCCACAGCGAGAAAATCTAGAGGATCATCATTCACCAATCTTGTGATAAGTTCTATATTAATATGGCCAAGTCGGTAATGCCACAGGAACGTGGGATTAACTATATCATGTGTTCTTTTCAGGGGGATGTGTTCCGATACAGTTCCAGTCACATTTGTTTTTAGAGAATGATAAAGAATATAAAGACCATTCTCAATTTCTCCGTAAGGAATTTGTTATTCAATTTATTTGTAATCTTATTACTAAACAAAATAAAATAACCATTCTTACACAATTTAGAAACTGAAATCAAATTTATTCTAAGTAAAGGTACATAAAGACAATCTTTTAATGTAACAATTCATTCTCTAAAAATTAAGTCTATTGTTCCTATAGCAGTAACTGCAACAATTGTAGTTGTCCCCAAGTAAATCACAACCTTGTCATCATTCAGCCTTCTGCTTTCTTTGAACCCCTGCAATGTGTTACATGCATGAGTAGAAGCCCCAAAGTCAATACATCAAGATGTAGAAGTGACCAACATAGTGGTCTCTATGACAAGATATTCGAAATTACCTTCTTTGTTCTTGCGAGATTTCAGATACTGAGGATAATTCCTCCTTCAATGCCCAGTTTGCTCGTAGAAGTGACATTCATCAAATGACTTGTTCTTACCCTTCCTTTTCTTTCTATCAGTTTTGCCACCTTCAACAATCATGGCTACCGGCTTGTCCTTCTTAATTAGTTCTTTAGCTCTTTGCAACATATTGTTGAGCTCCTACAAACTAACTTTTAGTTTGTCCATGTTATAGTTCATGACAAATTGATTGAAGGATGATGGTAGAGAGTTCAAGACGACATCAGTCTTGGTGTCATCATCAAGTTGGGAGCCAGGAGCCTCCAATTCATTTATATAACCTATCATCCGCATGACATGGTCATGAACTGGTTGGCTTTCAGTCATCCTCCTGGTCATCAACAGTTTGAAAACATTTTGTCTTGCAGAACAATTATGCTCCTCATACATAGTTTTTAGACTATCTAGGATATCTTTACATATATCAATTTTGTCAAATTGTCTCTGGATAGAATTATCTAAGGAGGCTATGACATAACACCGGGCAAGAGAATTTTTCTATTCTCATTCCTGATATTCCCTCCTTGCCTCAGAAGCCCTATCACCTGGACGTTCCGATGTTGGGTTTTTGGCAACTTTGTCCAATTTCTCTTATGTGAACAGTATGTTTAGGTTACGGAACCAGTCTGTATAGTTGGGTCCTTTCAATTTGTTGCCATCTAACAATTTAGTGAACTATCTGTGTGCCATTTCTGATAAAGGCATGATTAATTAGTCAACAACCACAATATTGTTTCATGTTATCTTTCATAGAATGGACTTTTATCTATGTTCCATCTCCATTTGTTCATCACTGAGATTTCCCTCTGATCTCAATGACGAGGACACAGTTCATGTCCCTAGAAAATGTGGAAAATCACATAGGTGCATGAGGCCAACTGTTTTAGCTGCATAACCCTACCACTTTCTATAAATGATTGCATATCCACCCATCCAATGAGCTTTCCATTTGGCCTCCATCAGACAAGGTTCATTGTCATTTTAGGTTAAACATTTCTGTCTAGTAAATGCAGACTCATCATATCGGGAGCCCCAAGGTACTGTGAAAGAGTCTTCCATTTTACGATAGCCCCCTCCTACTAGTCTATGACGCCCCTATCATCTCATGAAGCAATCCTACTGACTATCTCAATGAAATGGATAGTCCAATTTTATGGTGCATCTCCACCCACCAATTCAGCCCGTTTTCATGCTAATAACAAAAGGCCTTTAGAGAAATCATCTTATGATATTCCCTATCCCATTGCACTTATATTAACCATGAGGGGATGTGTATATCAGTCCATATGTCATATTTAGGTCATACTATAGTGACTCCCACCGACTTTAATAAAGTCAGATTCAAATAGGCCCTTAATGGGCTAGGGTTCCCGCGATGTTCCCTCTTGGGGAGGAAGCTATAGAGGGGACCCATTATAAAAGGAGATCATTTAATGATCCATGGGCATCATAGAAATTATGTGCGTTCATTCATGATGTTCATAGAGAGCCACATAAGTCAATACATGGCCCAAGTACTTATGGCCCATGAACGAATCACATCCATTCAATACATCACATACACATACACAATTGATACATATCAATTTAAAACTTGTAAAACACATATCCATTTAGATTAACACATGATTATCCCATCAATTGACCAAATTATCTAATAATTTTATCCTAGTATATGGGCTAAACTGCAAAAAACAGTTCGGCTCATATAGCAGTCCATGCTGAAATGGGCTAGTCTTGCTTTGGTCTAACATAAAAGGGGTTTTCAAGTATGGGACGAATTGGTTCATGCAATGGGCTATCAAACCCCTGGCCTAAAATGACTTTTGAGTCACTTAAACCGTGATCCAAGAGACAGTGATCAGACCTCAAAGAACCATAGGTTCGGCCCAACAAGATTGGACCAAAACTAGGTCAGATCGTTATAGGGTTTGGTGTCTAAGACATGCATCAATTCACATAGGTAATGATTTGAAATTCTCAGTTATGATTCACATAGGTTTAATAACTGAAATTCTCAGTTATTTCAACAAATAATCATAAATAAATGGTTAGGGTTGATAGTGTAATGATCTGAATCCAATTCGGACAAAAACTGCATCCCTGCGAAACTGCAATCTACACATCAATCTCCATCTGCAATCTCAGTCTTCTCTGCAATCTCCAGTGATTTCTCTGATGTAAAAAAATAGAAAAACCCTAACTTCTATTTTTTACATAAGAAAAACCTAATACATTGTTTCTAGAAAAGAAAAATAATTAATTATAGACCAAATAATCAAATTAATAAATTTAGTGTGCACTGATCTTGCCACTATCAAGAGTTCGATCTCCATCACACTTTCAACCTAAGATTTCAACAATCCATAATAGAACAATTCTATAATATATCAAAATTTCAAATCATTGTCTCATTCTGAGAACCAAATTCTTAGACTTTTTCGCTAACTACTCAAATTGGCTAAACTAGTTCTTGTGGATTTGAGTTTTGGTTCAAATCCAGTTTGGTTCAATCCAAGGGCTGAACCTAGTGCTCTGATACCATTGTTGGAAGGGTTAGGATCCATCATATAGATGGCCGAATCATGCTAGATGGCAGGGAAAATTTTCAAAAATTTCCTAATCCTTCTAGGAATCGAATTCCCTATGTTTGAAAAACTGCATTTTTCAGGATCGATCTTGCACTGAACTGGACCCTATTTGAAACTAATCAAAGAGGGAGATGTATACTTGAAACAGATACCACAAACGCAGATCCCAAGATGGAAGTTCACATCCAATTCAGTCCTAAAATTATCCTCTACTAAATATGACACAGTATGTAGGTGAAGTTGATTCAGCAACACGATTTTCAGAAAACTGCAACCCAATTGCTTGGATCGAACTAGGAATGTGAGCCTGAAGTTCCTCTAAATTTTTCTTGCAAAAATCA